GCTGCTGCTGCTGCTGCTGTTTTTTTCAGCAGCAGCAACGGCGGCGGCAGGTGTCTGCGTGGCTTCACCGCCCGGTTGCAGCTCGGGTGTGTCATGAGGCATGTGTTCTAGAGTGGGACCGCGCAAAGGTGTTGTGCTGTGCCCTATAGCAGGGCGCAAAGCACACAGGCGAGCCGCGCCCTCGCGCGTGTGCGTCAGAGGGTCTTTTCGGGAGGTTCCGACGGTTNAACTTTTTCAATTTTTTTCCTATAGGAAATTTGCTGCTTCGACACCCCTAATTGTGTCCTCACTCCCACTCGCCCCCCTCCCTCTTCCCCGTATACTCCTGCCCATGTGCACCGGGTCCGTTTTCCCTGCGTCCGTGAAGGTTATGTCGGTTGCGAGACCCGACTGGCAATGCCGAATACGCGAGGGCTTGGCGGGGATGGTCAAGGCGCTGTGGGCTCCCGACGCTAGACACGTCGTCACGTTTTCCGACTTCAGCTTGCACATGAGCGTGTGGTCGCTGTCCACGCGGCAGGTGAATCTATGCCTGTGCCGTTGTCGTTATTTTTGTTGATTCACCTTTTCTTTGTGAGTGGTGTTGTTGTGTCCTCTCTAGGCAGGAGGCAGGAGGCAGGAGGCAGGACGTTTTCTTGGAAAGTCTGGCAGCCCGTAGTCCTAGGCAACGAACGCATGAAGCCTACCGGCAACCACGAGGCGAGAAGCACAAACGGGCTATGACAGGGCCAGCAAGGCCGTGTTTGCCCTTGCCGTCAACCCGGTGTAGGCGTGACAAATAGGCGTTTGTTGGCGTGATTTTCGGCCTGGCTTCATGCTGGTCGGCTTTGGTATTGTTCGCCTTCTGTCCCACAGAGCCACATACTTGCTTGGCCAGTACAGTCTCCACGCCTTCCATAATATCTCGGCGAGCCAATGAAAAATGCGCACGAAAGGCTATTCGAAACCAACTCTCTTGCCCGACTCAATTAAGCCCACGCATACCCTCGAGCCGCGGATGCCTGCCATCGGATAATGCTTCCGTCTGTTAGTCGCTGGTGGGGGATGTTTAGGTCTGGCCCTTTTTTTGGTACTCGGAAATGTCTTTTGGTGTGATGTGTTGCGCCCTTGCGACGTGGCCTCCAGCAACGAAATCCTTTGTTTCCAATCCATGTATCAGTACGCATGGGAAAACAATTCACGTCAATGGTGTCGATCCGTTCCGCACACCGTACATAGTTTTCGGCTTCTTGTTTTTGGTGTGCCTGCATGTTTTTTTTTTTTCGGTTTTTGTCGCGCAGTTGCACACTGTCCGCCAGCCGAAGGCTGCTCCGGGATGTATCGCCTTCAGCCCGGACGCCCTCATCATGGCCGTCGCCACGCGACGAGATTGCAGGTGAAAACATGCGTAACGAGACATTCTAAGCGCGTTTCTTGTGTGCTTATGTCTGGGATATGTCTGCTGTGAAGATGCTTGTCGCAGGGAAGTAGATCGTGGCCCTGGCGAAAGTCGATGGTGCCTTTGCACGGCGTCGAAGCGATTGTGGCACGGATACAGCAGGATGGTATTTGTTGGCATCTGTTGCAGAAATCATCTCAGTGTTGAACGTTAAGCGTACTTTTCAGGACAATATACCTCTATATAACGAAACCCTTCCCGAAACGGTCTGAAAGAAAATGCTCCGCACTCGCTCCGGAAGAGTCATCGCCTGGAAGCGATTGGTTGAAGCATGTTTCGGGGCCATTCCTAATGGCGCTCTTTTTCTCATTTTTTCGTCTTGTTTCTTTGCGAAGAGACCACCTGAAGCTGTACGACACTAGGTCGTGGGAGTCTCTCGGCGAATTCACGGCGGAGACGGTGGACCTCACTCACGTCGACTTCTCTCCCGACGGTTTCACCCTGTGCCTGCAGGACACGTCGCTAGAGTGAGTCAAGTCAGTCAGTCAGAAACGAGACGTATCTAGACCCGGGATGTAGTGTTTTGGAGAAGGCGCTTTCTTGACGATACACTAGCGGTAGTGAGACAGGCACACCTGGTATGCCTGGGAATTGCGACCTGATCTGTGCATGCTTGAGCAGTGGCGTGACGGCCCTGAACAGGGTGCGACTCAATCCCTAAGTTTTCTCCACGGGTACGATGCAACTCTAATTCTGTACTATAACGGTGACACGTTACAAAAGCTCCTCACTAAAAATGCGGGGGGGCGGGCGGGGGGGGATGTACTCATCGTCGTGCATGCCGAAGTCGTTGGACCATTGACCTCGCATCCCTACAAAGCCGGGACGGAGGTTGGGGTTCGTGTTTATTCGACCGTTTAGTGTAGCACCGACCGTGGTTCGCGCACCGATCCGTAAAGAACTGCCCGTGTCCGCGGCGGAGCGACTCGCGTATCCCACCCACTGCCGTCCGTTTGATCATCTGCATCCAGATACCGGGTGATGTTTTACTCGCTGGCGGGGAAGCTGGTCGGGCGCTTGGAGGCGTACTCGCGCGCCCTGGGCGTCAAGTCAATGGCGTGGTCGCCCGCCGGCACGCTGCTGTCGGTCGGCAGCTACGACCAGTGCGCGCGGCTGGTTTCTCCGGTGACGTGGAAGGCGGTGGCGGTTCTGCGGCACGTGCACCCCAAGACGCAGGTGTGCTTTCGAGTTTTGGCGGGTGTTCGGTGTTTCTTGGTGGTGGTTGCTGTTGTTGTATGCTGCCGTTGCTGCTGCTGGTACGGCTATGGCTGATTCTTCTTCTTCTTCTGCTGCTGCTGCTGCTGCTGCTGCTGCTGCTTCTGTTTCTTCTTCTGTTATTGGTGTCGCTCATTGGGGATGTGATGAATGGATGGATGGATGGATGGATGGATGGATGGATGTCTTCGATTCCTGGGGGTGAAGTGTTGTGATTTTGTGACATACGAGGCGATGACGGTTGTGCGATGCAAGGGATGTTTGGGGTGTAGTGGTAGAACTCACGGCATTTTTGCTCATGATATTTTGGTAGTCGTCGCTACGTATGTTATGTAGTTGTCCGCACGTCGTGTCGGTTGTTTTGTGATATTTCATTGCGCAACCCCCCCCTCCCCCTTTCCCTCCCCGCAGCCGGGTTTCGAGAAGGTGGCCTGTTACCGCGAAGTGCCTCTAGGGCAGCAGCAAGATTACGAAGAAGGAGAGGATGGGAGCGACAACAACAAAGAGAACGGCGGGGCCGGAAACAACAGGATGAGGGCACCGTCGAACGCGTCATCGCTGTCGCTGGTAATGCAGTCACGCGCCGGTGGCGGGGCGGTCGGGACGAAAGGGGTGAAAGGGGGACGACGCCCCGGGCCGGAGAGTACCCTCAAGCCGAAAATGTGAGGCATGCGGGGAGGGGAGGTGGATCACGGTGGTATGTGAAGTGTTCGGTTCGCGGCACGGGGGGAACGGCTGCGAAGACATGATACCCTCCCGATAGATGTCTCGAAACCTTCCGCTTTCCGAGGGCGGAAAATCTTCCAGAAGCAGTCGCGCTACGGTGCATCTGCACCGCTCTTGGAGCTGGCTGCTGACTCCCAGGCATGCACAAATTGTTTTTGGAAAACCCGGGAATATAGGATCCTGTGTCCAACGCGTACCATGATCATTATCATCGTCCCCGGGGCTTTGGGAGCACGTAATAATCCATCTTATTCCTGGGGTTGGTAAGAACTGAGGAACGTCCGGGATAACGCCAATTACGCCCCCCCCCCACTCCC